GCTGGAGCGCTTCAGGACCACCCAAATCGCTTTTGAATGATTACATGGCTAAATTATAGCATGAATATTTTTTAAAGATCCCCAAGCTTTAAATGTAGCCCAGAATCATGGCTCTGAGCTTGTTTTCATTCTAGTACATGCCAGCCACTGCAGCCACCTGCCTGTGCACCCCTGTGCCTTCTGCCAACACTTCAGGTGAGGTAAGAGCATTATCATCTCTCTGGATTGAGGACAGGAACATGAGCAGAAGCAGCTCTTCCCATGAAGGTCTTCCCCTCTTCAGTGGGTCTATGCTCACAAACAGCTGGTAGGTTTGCGAGGGATGTAAGAACTGAAGACTCAGTCTGTGACCTTGAGAGGAGCCCTTGCTCACGTTTGGCCAGATGGCAGTTCCACCAGCCCACTGGCCTTGGGAGGAGCGCAGGCCGCTCCAAATGCTGGGGAAGCAACACTGCGTGTGCGAGCTCACAGGTGTGAGGGAGTAGATAGGTAGGGCCCTCAACTCTGGATGGTGGCAGCCAGGCTACCTTAGAGGCAGGTAAGGAAAGGGAGGCACAGGATGACGGTCCTGCCTCGGCTGTGCAGGAAAGCAGTGGCCCACAAAACCAGGTACCAGTGGGCTCTCCCGCAGAACCTGGGGTCTGCTCTTTCCAGTTCAGCAAATGGCAGTGGTAGGGGCTACATGCCAGGGCGCTGGGTGGGCTGAGCAGCCTGGGGTCAGCCAGGTCCTCGTGTCTGTCGTCCCCCTCCCTGCTCTCTGCTTTCACCCTCTTTGGGACCCCCTCACCATCTCTGAATACAGGTGAATTCTTGGAGATGCTAATGCAGGCTACGGAGGGCTAAGCAAGAATACAGACTGTCTGTGGTGCTGCTGAGGACGACATGTGGCCAACATTTGTCACAGGCCTGGAAAAAGACATGTCTGCACTCCTGCCATGCTATTCCTCCATACCTGGTGGGGCCTGGGGAGCCGTCACTTCTGAGCATACTGCCTTCTAGCAAATCAGAAAACTCTTCCTTCCTGCAGAGACGCTTCTGTGTCTCATCTCTAATCACAATGTGCACTTTCCCTGTTCCAAAGGGACATGGTGCTTCAGGCCTCTTCTCATCTCTGTGGAATACAGCTTCCAATGTGCTGGATTCACTTAGGGAGGCTTTTTAAAGATTTTGTTATTGTTTCTAATCTTAAAAAAAGAAAGGTGTGGTGCTAGAACATTGATGGAGTTCTACTGTGGGCCTTTCTTACTGAGTTTAGTTACAAACTTTTTTGGTGTCTGTATGTAAGAAAATACACAGAGTTAAAGATTTCTGTTGTCTAAAGCTCACATATCCCATCTTTTCTTCATACATTCTTTCTCTTATCCAGATTGTTGTTCTTCCCATATAGCAGAGTCTGCCTACTTCACCTTGTTACAATTTTTAATTTTTTGAATTCTTTTTTGAATGACATCTCATGTGGAGTTTTGGGGGGCTGGGTAAGGAACAATGCAGAAGACTAAGTAGGCAGTGGAAGTGGCCTTTCCACCCTCTGCCCTACTTCCTGGGAGGAGAGACTGGACTTGCCTTCAGGAGGCGGAGGTGTGACTGAGGCTCACTTAAGGAGACAGTCCCGTAGCCTTTGGAAGCCATCTGTGAGCCAGATTTGGATGAAGACCAGATCTTCCCAGGAAGGTCCCAGAAGGGTGGACTCACTGGCTTCTAATTCTCACCAGCCAGGTCAGTGCCCTCTGAGGGCATCTTTGCCAGCTGCCAGCTTCTGGGAATACCCACTTTCCTGCTCCTAGATGGTCTTCACTGCAGGGCTGTGACTGTGGATCCACTTGGGTCCCTTCCCCACTGCCTCACTTCTGGCCCAGGGGCTCTCGAGGAGGTGATCTGGCCTCCAGTGGCCCTTTGGCAGTCTCTCGGAGACACTGTTGATCGTCATGCCTGAAGCTGGGATCTGTGCTCTGGGCATCCAGTGCTGGAGAACAAGGGTACCCCCGCGCCCTGCAGTGCGCAGGCTGGCCCCGCCTGCCTGATGGAGTATCTGGCTCAGAATGTCAGTAGTACTAAGGCTGAGTCCTGCCCTCCCAACTAGAGGACTTGGTAAATTCCCCCCAACCCTGGACACAAATGTCTTTTGAGAGGAGTCCTTGAGTATTGCCTAACTTTGACCCTTTGATACCTCTGCACACAGCAAGAGTTGCCCTCAAAAGGCATGTGCTGTTGTATACCTGCCATCTGAGCACACACCTTAAGAGGATCGAGGTGGGGATCATTCTGGGTGTGCTGTGCAGGGCAGGAAAAGGCATAGTTCCTCACAGCTCAGCCCCACTTGTTACAGACGTGCATACATTCTCAGTCAGACTAATTGGCCAGAACATGCCCCAGCCCCCTCCTCGGAGGACATGGCCCTTGGCATGTCCTGTTGGTGCCAGGGCAACTGCTCCTGCCCTGAAATGAGGGACACTCAGCCCCAAGGCTGACTGGGCCTTTTGTGGGAGGGTGCGGGTTGGGGTTAGAAAGGTGTAAGGCATATAGTGTGGGAGAGATGGTGTTTCTAGTGTTTTTAACCAAAGAATTTGAAATGCTGCCCAACTAGGAAGCCTGGTCAATGCCCTCGTCAGTCGTGTGGGTGGGGTGGGAGGACATCACTCCTCTGAGGGCGAAGACTGCACTTCACTGCTCCAGCACCCACCCCTGGCCTGGACGCCCTCAGCCCAGCTCCATTCCCGGTCCTTCCTTCCTACTGACCAGTGAGCCCGTGTCGCCCCCTAGTGCCTGCGATGCCTCCCGCTGCTTCAGCGGCAGCTCTGGGGCTGCCCTGTGGGCTGTAGTTGAGGGAATGGAACGTTGGAGAGATGCCCAATGGGGGCTTGGCATTCTGGGGAGAAGCCACTGCTGTGTGGCACATGTGCCTCACCTTCTGGGAGAGCCCAGTGCTGTACTCAGGAGGGGCTGCTCTGATCTCAGGGCAGTTAAAATTGGGCCGGAAATTAGGTCTGTAACTTGTCCCCAGGTTCTGCTGAACCAGCTTCTGAGAAGAGGTGTGGGTATGAGGGAAGCAGCTCAGTGGGTCTGTAGAATGAAGTCTGAAGCCCTCTGCCTGGTCTATGGTACATTTGTTTTAAAAATTCCACATAATAACTTAGATCATATGGTATCTGTCTTATCTCTGTCTGACTTATTTCACTGAGCATAATACCTTTTAGGTCCATCCATGTTGCTGTGAACGGCAAGATTTCATTCCTTTTTATGGCTAACATTCCTCTGTGTGTGTGTGTGTGTGTGTGTGTGTGTGTGTGATTTTTTAAAAATAAATGCTGCTTAATTTTACCAAATGTCTTTTCAGCATATAATTTTATAGTATGGCTTTTTCCTTCAACTTTGACTTATGTCAGTAGTTTCTGGTGAACAATCCTTACATTTTTTAAATAAACCCTACTTGTTTATTGTGATGTATTTCTAGTTTCTCACTGCTAATTTTTGTCATTAAAAAATTGATATATAATTTATATACTGTAACATTCACCCTCTTAAAGTGTACAAACCAGTAGTTTTAGTATATTTACAAAGTTACACAACTATCACCAATCTTCACCACCTGAGAAAGAAAGAAATGGTGCACACTAGTAGTCATTCCTTGACCCACAGCCACTGGCAGCCACTAATGTGTGTGTGTGTCTGTAGGCTTGCCTCCTCTGGAAATTTTATGTAAATGGAAGCATGCAGTGTATGTCTTCTGTGTCTGGCTGCTCTCACATGTTCCCAGGGCCTCTCCATGTTCTGGTGTGTAGCTGTAGTTACTTCTTTTATGACTGAATCATGTCCTGTGGTGCAGGCACACATTTGTCATCTGTTTATCAGCTGATGGCCATCGAGGTGTTCCCACCATCTGGCTGCTGGGAACCCGGTGTGCCGCTCGTGGCTGTGTCTTGGTGCCCTTGGGCGAACACCTAGGAGGAGAGTGGCTGGGACACATGGTAACTGCTGCAGTCACCCTTTGGAGGACCTGCCCAGCTGTGTTCGGGTGGCCCTCTGCTTGGCGTGCAGCCACCTAAGGGTGTGGGTGGCCTCCTGGTGACTCAGGACACTGAGCCTCTTTCATGTGCTTTTTGACCATATGTAAATCTTCTTAGATCATTATCTGCTCAAATCCTTTGCCCATTTTTAAATTGGGTTATTTGTTGAGCTAAGAGTTACTCATGTTTTTAAGTAGTTTATTCCTAATGTTCCTATTTTCTGAGGGGGCACTGTTAAACTTTTTTGGGGTTTTGCTGAATATTCTCAGATTTTTGGGTGAAACAGTAGTTTCTAGTCAATTAACAGTTTTTGCCTGTTTATTTTTGCTTACATTGAGAGTCACTCTGACGTCTCCTCTACATGTACCTCAACTGCCTTGGATGTACCCACACCAATACCTCATGCGGCCTTCAGTGAGTGTTCACACATGAGCGAAAGCCAAAGAGGCAGTTTGATGTAAAGACAACAGTGGGATTGATGACAGGAGTGTGAGTTCTGGTGCAGTACCTTTTGCAGCCCAAGTACAGTACCTTCAGTTCTGGGAGTTTGCTGTCCATAGACAAGGGTCCCTCTGGATAGATGGGCAGAGCACTCATCCTGCTGCCTGCCTGTCATTTCTCAGGATTTTCTTTTTTTTTATTAAGGTTTCATTGATATACACTCTTATGAAGGTTTCACATGAAAAACACTGTGATCACTACATTCACCCCTATTATCAAGTCCCCCCCACACCTCACTGAAGTCATTGTCCATCAGCATAGTAAGATGCCACAGAGTCACTACTTGTCTTCTCTGTGCTATACTGCCTTCCCCATGCCCCCCCAACACCATGTGTGCCAATCATAATGCCCCTCAGTTCCCTCCTCCCTCCCGCTCTCCCCCACCTCCCTTCCCCTTTGGTAACCACTAGTCCCTTCTTGGAGTCTGTGAGTCTGCTGCTGTTTTGTCCCTTCATTTTGCTTTGTTGTTATACTCCACAAATGAGCATTTCTCAGGATTTTTAAATGTCTGTCTTCAGTGGTCCTGGTAGTCCCGTCACTGCTCCAGGTGGCCTCACAGAGGTGCTGCCCACTGACACTGCATTTACTTTTGCTGCTGCCACCAGGGCTCAGTCCTGATACCAGGGACCACCACCCGATTTCTCTCCAGCCAGCCCTGGTGATGGGACCTCTTATCCAGCAACAGGGCCACCTCTCCCTCATCAGCACAGGCACAGTAGGGTGACTTCTGGTTATCAGCTCCTGACGATAAGGAGACCTGTGTGCTACTCTTCAGTAGACACTTGTGAGTGAACATGGGAATCGCTCCAGTGTCATCGATGGCACACTCAAAATAGGAGCTAAACTAAGAAGAAGATGATCCAGCGGCCAGGAAAGCAGCCATTCTGCTCCCCAGCCCGCTCCCTCCAACTGATTCCTATATGTGGAACTAAAAGTGTTTCTACCTACATACTAGTTTATCTAGGAATTCATACACATTTCCTAGAAAGGTTTATCAAAACAGTAACCTAGAGGAATGGATGAAGCCCTTTTGGTTTCTTGTAGGCCTGCTGTATTCTGATGGGCACCTGATGGCTTCATAGTAGAGGAGACAGCAAGCGAGGAAAAGCAGGAGACAGGAGGGGGAAGGGAGTCACGCAGGCAGAAGTCTCTCCAAGCTGGAGCGCTTCAGGACCACCCAAATCGCTTTTGAATGATTACATGGCTAAATTATAGCATGAATATTTTTTAAAGATCCCCAAGCTTTAAATGTAGCCCAGAATCATGGCTCTGAGCTTGTTTTCATTCTAGTACATGCCAGCCACTGCAGCCACCTGCCTGTGCACCCCTGTGCCTTCTGCCAACACTTCAGGTGAGGTAAGAGCATTATCATCTCTCTGGATTGAGGACAGGAACATGAGCAGAAGCAGCTCTTCCCATGAAGGTCTTCCCCTCTTCAGTGGGTCTATGCTCACAAACAGCTGGTAGGTTTGCGAGGGATGTAAGAACTGAAGACTCAGTCTGTGACCTTGAGAGGAGCCCTTGCTCACGTTTGGCCAGATGGCAGTTCCACCAGCCCACTGGCCTTGGGAGGAGCGCAGGCCGCTCCAAATGCTGGGGAAGCAACACTGCGTGTGCGAGCTCACAGGTGTGAGGGAGTAGATAGGTAGGGCCCTCAACTCTGGATGGTGGCAGCCAGGCTACCTTAGAGGCAGGTAAGGAAAGGGAGGCACAGGATGACGGTCCTGCCTCGGCTGTGCAGGAAAGCAGTGGCCCACAAAACCAGGTACCAGTGGGCTCTCCCGCAGAACCTGGGGTCTGCTCTTTCCAGTTCAGCAAATGGCAGTGGTAGGGGCTACATGCCAGGGCGCTGGGTGGGCTGAGCAGCCTGGGGTCAGCCAGGTCCTCGTGTCTGTCGTCCCCCTCCCTGCTCTCTGCTTTCACCCTCTTTGGGACCCCCTCACCATCTCTGAATACAGGTGAATTCTTGGAGATGCTAATGCAGGCTACGGAGGGCTAAGCAAGAATACAGACTGTCTGTGGTGCTGCTGAGGACGACATGTGGCCAACATTTGTCACAGGCCTGGAAAAAGACATGTCTGCACTCCTGCCATGCTATTCCTCCATACCTGGTGGGGCCTGGGGAGCCGTCACTTCTGAGCATACTGCCTTCTAGCAAATCAGAAAACTCTTCCTTCCTGCAGAGACGCTTCTGTGTCTCATCTCTAATCACAATGTGCACTTTCCCTGTTCCAAAGGGACATGGTGCTTCAGGCCTCTTCTCATCTCTGTGGAATACAGCTTCCAATGTGCTGGATTCACTTAGGGAGGCTTTTTAAAGATTTTGTTATTGTTTCTAATCTTAAAAAAAGAAAGGTGTGGTGCTAGAACATTGATGGAGTTCTACTGTGGGCCTTTCTTACTGAGTTTAGTTACAAACTTTTTTGGTGTCTGTATGTAAGAAAATACACAGAGTTAAAGATTTCTGTTGTCTAAAGCTCACATATCCCATCTTTTCTTCATACATTCTTTCTCTTATCCAGATTGTTGTTCTTCCCATATAGCAGAGCCTGCCTACTTCACCTTGTTACAATTTTTAATTTTTTGAATTCTTTTTTGAATGACATCTCATGTGGAGTTTTGGGGGGCTGGGTAAGGAACAATGCAGAAGACTAAGTAGGCAGTGGAAGTGGCCTTTCCACCCTCTGCCCTACTTCCTGGGAGGAGAGACTGGACTTGCCTTCAGGAGGCGGAGGTGTGACTGAGGCTCACTTAAGGAGACAGTCCCGTAGCCTTTGGAAGCCATCTGTGAGCCAGATTTGGATGAAGACCAGATCTTCCCAGGAAGGTCCCAGAAGGGTGGACTCACTGGCTTCTAATTCTCACCAGCCAGGTCAGTGCCCTCTGAGGGCATCTTTGCCAGCTGCCAGCTTCTGGGAATACCCACTTTCCTGCTCCTAGATGGTCTTCACTGCAGGGCTGTGACTGTGGATCCACTTGGGTCCCTTCCCCACTGCCTCACTTCTGGCCCAGGGGCTCTCGAGGAGGTGATCTGGCCTCCAGTGGCCCTTTGGCAGTCTCTCGGAGACACTGTTGATCGTCATGCCTGAAGCTGGGATCTGTGCTCTGGGCATCCAGTGCTGGAGAACAAGGGTACCCCCGCGCCCTGCAGTGCGCAGGCTGGCCCCGCCTGCCTGATGGAGTATCTGGCTCAGAATGTCAGTAGTACTAAGGCTGAGTCCTGCCCTCCCAACTAGAGGACTTGGTAAATTCCCCCCAACCCTGGACACAAATGTCTTTTGAGAGGAGTCCTTGAGTATTGCCTAACTTTGACCCTTTGATACCTCTGCACACAGCAAGAGTTGCCCTCAAAAGGCATGTGCTGTTGTATACCTGCCATCTGAGCACACACCTTAAGAGGATCGAGGTGGGGATCATTCTGGGTGTGCTGTGCAGGGCAGGAAAAGGCATAGTTCCTCACAGCTCAGCCCCACTTGTTACAGACGTGCATACATTCTCAGTCAGACTAATTGGCCAGAACATGCCCCAGCCCCCTCCTCGGAGGACATGGCCCTTGGCATGTCCTGTTGGTGCCAGGGCAACTGCTCCTGCCCTGAAATGAGGGACACTCAGCCCCAAGGCTGACTGGGCCTTTTGTGGGAGGGTGCGGGTTGGGGTTAGAAAGGTGTAAGGCATATAGTGTGGGAGAGATGGTGTTTCTAGTGTTTTTAACCAAAGAATTTGAAATGCTGCCCAACTAGGAAGCCTGGTCAATGCCCTCGTCAGTCGTGTGGGTGGGGTGGGAGGACATCACTCCTCTGAGGGCGAAGACTGCACTTCACTGCTCCAGCACCCACCCCTGGCCTGGACGCCCTCAGCCCAGCTCCATTCCCGGTCCTTCCTTCCTACTGACCAGTGAGCCCGTGTCGCCCCCTAGTGCCTGCGATGCCTCCCGCTGCTTCAGCGGCAGCTCTGGGGCTGCCCTGTGGGCTGTAGTTGAGGGAATGGAACGTTGGAGAGATGCCCAATGGGGGCTTGGCATTCTGGGGAGAAGCCACTGCTGTGTGGCACATGTGCCTCACCTTCTGGGAGAGCCCAGTGCTGCACTCAGGAGGGGCTGCTCTGATCTCAGGGCAGTTAAAATTGGGCCGGAAATTAGGTCTGTAACTTGTCCCCAGGTTCTGCTGAACCAGCTTCTGAGAAGAGGTGTGGGTATGAGGGAAGCAGCTCAGTGGGTCTGTAGAATGAAGTCTGAAGCCCTCTGCCTGGTCTATGGTTCGTCCATTCCCTCTACAACTTCTCCAGTTCTGTGCAACCTGCACTGTAGGTCCATCCAAGCATTATCAAGTTCCCCTACCCATTACTGTTGCTTCTATCCCTGGCACATCCGCTGGTTTTCAAACCTTCATTTTCCCAAGCAGATCCCAGAACTCCCTTATCCTTGTGTCAGACCTACCTCAGTGTCACCATTCAGCAAAGCACAAGCACAGGGATTGTGATCTTTCCTTTACTCTGTCCTTCCCTTTATGAGGGCAGGAAAGGGCTCATGATCAAATGCAACTATTTCTGTAGTGTCTTTGGGGTGTTTCACTCACTACCCAGGATGTTTAACTCCTTGCTGCGGTAGGCCGGTGGGTAGGATGTGCAGGGATTGCCTAGGATATGCACTAATGTTTAGCAGCCACTCCCAGGAACACTAACATTGGAGCTGAGCTCAGAACTTCGGGGCTGGCCAAGAGTGGCCACACAGCTGAGAAGGTGAGTATGCACCAGAGAGGAAATTTGTTCCAGGGCTGGAGGCAGGTGCCCTCCACCTTATTCCAGTTAGTTCAGAGGGCTCACCAAAACCAACTTTCAGTCTGAGTAAAGCCAGCCCACCACTGGTGTGACCTATCCCCAACCTTCAGGGTGGCGTGATACCCCACATGCACTTGTCACCCTGGGCAGCCATTCAACTTACACTCAAGCACACTTTGCACAGTTGTCTCCCCACCAAGGCTCCTGGCCTCATGCCCACCCATGTCGGTGCCACCCTCCAGCTGCCTTTTCCCTCCTGACTCCTGGTATTTGCGTGTTCCCCCCCTACAATTCGCTTCTTTTACACCAACTTTTACTTTGAAATAAAAAAATCTGCCTCCTGGTATCTTACCCATGTGTTAAGTTGGGGACTTGGGTGACAGGCCCACATTTGCTTCTAGGGACACGGGTGGCAGCTTAAGAAGCAGAGGCTATGTCTCATGAGGTAGGGACGGGGCATCTGTGCCACTTGGCTCCAGCACCTTGGCCAGAAGCACAGAGCACCCTTCCTGTCCACACACGTTCCACTTGCGGTGCCTCGTCATATGGCAGATCGAGCACAGAAGCCAAGGGATAAACTGTGACATTTAGGGGCATGTGGTTTCCTGGCCTGCTTCCTCCCACATCACACCAGTCCCACTCACCTCAACCCCTGGTCTTCCTGAGGCGAATGCACGGGGCAGTGCTGGCAGGAAGGTAAATACACAGAGTCCTTTGAATCTCTATCAAATGTGGTTTTTATTCAACTGACAAGCACTTTTCTACAGTTGCACTTGTGGAACATCACATGGCAAAAACAGGAGTTTTTCTCTAGCTTTTTTTTTCTTTTTAAACCTTATTAAAAATGAGATTGGTCCTAAAAATATAGAAAGAAATAAATTTAAATTCACAAAAAACTGTACATTATCAAAAAGTCACTAAAACACCACATTTGGTTATATAAAAGTCCCTTTTGTTGTAAAAGGAACATGGAAACTTGGTGTTGATGATGTGGTTTCTTCCTGTTACCAGACTGAACAGGGCCAGAGTGTGCCTTACTTGTTTTCTGACCTGCCTTCCCTACTGAAGACTCTTGTCAAGAGAAAGCCCACCCAGAAGGGGCAGTGAAGATGTGGGAAGGAAAGTAAAAAAGGCCTCGATCGTGCCCCCCAGCCCCAGGGAAGCCAGGGCTCCCCACCACTGAAGATACCTGGTCCCCAGGGGAGGGGAGGGGATGGAGCTGGGAGAGGAACACAGTGGGACCAACTGACATTTCACTCCTTGCCTCCCAAAATAAAATTAATCTATTTTATGCCAGGGGAAAACCGCCTGGGGGTGAAAGAACCCCCAACTCTTAACAGTTCTGAACATCTAACACAAAGTCTGTTACAGCACACTTATTTAGATAAAATATAAATATTTATGCATAATATAAAGTCAATTCAAATATTCTTCAATCAACCTCTTATTTAAAAGCAAAAAAAAAAATCTCAAATAAAAGTTTTGAGGTTTATCTGACAGAAAAGGCGACTTTAGAGACAGGCTATGGGAGGAGCATTAAGGAGCGGGGGGGGGGGGGGGGNCCCCCTTCAGTGGCTAGTCAGTGCTGCCGAGGTACAGGGCCTGCCCCCCACACCCTCTCCCCACCAGTGGGACACCTCTGGGATGCCTCTGCTCTGCCTGAGCCAGCCAGAAGCCACCTCCCCAGTGCAAGTACCCGTAATCTCTGATGGGAGGGGCTCTGCTGAGCAGGAAAGCAGGGGGCTGGACCCAGGGCTATAGCTGGGAGTTAGTAGCCTCCCTTTCTGTGATGGGGCTCAATTTGGGCAGTCACACAAGGGCAGTGGTGGACCCAGACCCCTCCTCCCTACTCTTGTGCTCCAGGGTCTCTGCTGCTGGGGAAGGGGTCCTGGGGTAGGAAGTAGAGAAGGGGAGGAAAGTATAACAAAACCCACAGAAACTCACAGACTGGGAAAGGTCCAGTTCTACACCCTTCCCTGCAAAAGCTGAGGGCTCAAAGCTGGTGAAAGGAGAGTTCCACTAAAGATTGCACAGTTTGAAAAGGCTGGAACAGGAATGACTGGGAGTGAGAGGAGTGAGGCACAGCCCTGTACCCAGAAAAAGAAACTCCTGTGGTTTCCCACAAGAAAAAAAAAGTGATGGTCTGAAACAATGGGAGAAGGTGGGGATACAGAACACACAGTTTGGGAGACTGAACAGATGCCGTCACATACAGGGGGCCCCGTCACAGCACCCTGCTGGGCTCTCTTCCACCCGCACACACACCACACGCCCCTCTCCGAGGCTGCTGCTCTCTGGCCTCCGCCTTGGGGTGCGCCCAGACTCAGCAGTAGTTGTCCCTGAGGAGTTCCCAAGAGGGAGGTTGGGGTAAAACGTGGGGAAGGAGGCTGCAAGGCCCAGGGTCCAGGGTGCTTTCCTGCCCTCTCCTCCCAAGCTGAGCTTCAGAAAAGGCTGGAAGCTCAGCTCTCGAGGAGTACACAATGTTAGAGGGGGCTGCCGTTGGCAGGAAGATGAAGACAGAGAAACCAGGACCTCTGAACTTTTCCCCAGGAGGGAAAAAAGACTTGGGGGAAGAGAAAAGGATGGAGGAACCCGTACATGATAGTTTTACACTATTGAATGAGAGGAAATGTGACCAGGGAGAGGAGGGAAAGGGACCTTGAGAGAGAAGCCAGGGAGGGACTGAGCATGGAAGCAGCATGTTCAGGGCCCGGTGTCCGGCTCGACACACCTGGGGGTTAAGTCCACTTCACTGGCCGTCACTGCGGGTCCACACACAGTACAGAGTGTTTCTTGGTTTCACACATTCACTAGAACTATTGCTATTGTTAAATAGCCCCAGAATACAGGGCACGTACAGAGGAGGAGAGGAAGCTGGAGAAGGAAGTAGGAACTTGTTCCTCCTCATTTTTAATTAGGAAATAAAACAGGAAAAATTGGGGTGTTTTTTTTTGGCTTTCAGTCCGGAAGGACCTCATCTCTACCCCTCTATTTGAGGAGCAAGAGGAGGAAAGGGAGAAAGGGGTGTAAGCTTAAGAGGGTGCAGGGTGCTGTCAAGGGCAGGATCAAAAATTAGGGGTGTCTCTGAGTCTGGCCCCAGGGCAGCATCAGCAGGTGAGAGTGGCAGGGTTTTGTTTGGAGGGCAGAGGAGATGCCACAAGGGGACTCCCCACCTCCTTTGCCTCACAGGTGGGCCTGTTTTCCCTGATAAAACTCTTCCCAGCGGCTCTCAAAGAAGCGGCGCATGATGTGCCCGGCCTTGCCCACTTCGGAGTCATCCTCGTTGAAGGTCTGGCAGTTGTCAAAGACCAGGAGTGCATCTGCCGCAAACTCCTCTGAGCTGGTGTACCTAGGGCAAGGGCAGAGGCAGAGCTGCGAGCTGGGCAGGGGCTGTAGCCGCTGGAGGGGAGCTGAGAGAGCCGGCCGATGCTTACTTACCCACCTCGGAGGAGCCGCTCCCGCATAGTGGAAAAATCCATAGGGTTTTTGATGATGCGCCGGTACCCGCTCACCAAACGTGGGTTCACAGGCTCCAAGAAAGGCCAAGCTGCATCATGGGACTCCATCTCCATCAAGATAACCCTGCCATTAAAGGCATAGGGGGTACAGCTCAGGAAGCAGGTACACTGACCCCTCCTGGCCCTGCACTCTGGCAAAGGCAGAGCCAGCTGTCCCCAGTGGTCACTCTACTCACTCGCAAAACGTGAGGTTGCTGTGGTGGCTCCGCACAGAGAGCCGCCGCCGCTTTGCGGGGGGTAACCCTTCTGACGCCCGAGGCATCGCTGGGCTTTCTTGGCCCCGCGGTACCCGGCGCCGACAGCTCTCCCCCTCTGTGAAGTCCAGCATACAACTGCTTTTCCGCCTCTGACCTCGTTTGGGGAAACCAGGCTTCTGAGTGAATTCTACCTCTGCCTGCTGAGGATTGGAAGAAGGTGAGATCAACAACCCCGGAGGTGCACTGCTCACCTGCAGTTCACAACTCCTAGTAGTCTGCTATTCAAAATACGTTCATCCATAACCCAGCATGGGCTGGCGCGGAGAGTACAATCACCCCCCCGTTTCACGGAGAAGGCACATGAGGCTGAGTCTAAGTAACTTGACCAAAGAAGGGCTGGAACCCAGGGCTCCTGCACCTGGTCTGGAGCTCTTTCCAGGGAAAGACAGAAGGCAAGGTAAGAAATCATAGTTGTAGGACTGGGGGTAAATGGGATGAGAAAGAAAATCTGGGCTCTGCCTGCGAGTGGGAATGAGAGCACAGACCTACCTGGGCCAAACAGACAGCGCAAAACCAGTCTCCTTCCGGGACAGCCTCCATCTTGGGCCGGTGGCAGTAAATGTGGCAGCCACGGTCACACCCATCACAAAGCAGGAGCAGCTCATCCTGGTCGCCCTTCCGGCACACTAGACAGGTCTACACCAAGGTTGCGAGGAAGCAGGGTGAGCCCTCAAACCTCCCCTTCTGGTGACTCCACCACTCCGGCTGGCTGGCTCCCCAAGCATCTCACCACTTTGCTGACAGACTTCTCCCAGGCGATGGACCGCTCCAGCTGGCCCAGACACAGGCACACCTGAGCAGCACTCCAGCACCGCTCCAGCGTCTGGTGCCAGGCCCGAACGCGAGGCGTGATCTCATACGATCTGAAGAGAGAAAGTGATGAGAAGTGGGACCCATTAAAATTACCTACCCTCAGACCAAGACGGGGGCTTGCTCACATCTCTGCAGCCGTGCCCGGTGGAGCACTGGGCGTGCCCAGCAGGGTCTTCTCCAGCACAACCTCATGAGCTGGCCATAGGGGCTCTCGCAGGTACCGCCGCTCCACGTTCTGCTCCAGGGCTGCCAGGCGCATCACAGCCAGGTCCAGAGGGTTGGTAGTTTTGCGCTGAGGGGTCAGTCCCTCCCTGCCTCGACCTCTCCAGGTGATATCCTCCTGGGAGTCAGGCAGATGCTCACAGTAGGCCAAATCTTCTCGAGTAGAGTCTGGGCTAGGACACGTCCAGCCCTGCAGGTGGCACAGAGGGACAGAACTCCTCATTGGAAAGGGAGAAAATTAAGCATAGAGAAAAATATGACCCTCTGAGGGTCATGGGAGGAACACTTGTCAAGTGGGCACCCAGGGTTTTTCCTAACAGGGCACAAGAAATTAATGCCCTCCCCTTAACAGCTCTCTACCCAGTGCTGGCCCCCGTGTACCCGGATCTGAAGATCTGACAGAATCACCCGCTGCTCCAGCTCCTCCACCCGCTGCAGCACAGCCAGGTCTGCCTCATGCGTCTTCTCTCGGGGGCTCCAGTGCACAGGCCCTCCTTGAAAGGCAAGCAGCTGACTGGGCTCAAAGATGGGGTCTGAGGAGACAAAGGGCAGGAGGAGAGGCCATCAGATTCTCTTTTCCATGGCAGTAGGTCATTTGTCTCAGGCTCCCTGGCTCAGGCCGGGTTAAGCATGTCATACCAGTTAAGGGCCGCACACAGACTTCCTGTAAAAAATCCCTGTGCTTGTTCAGGTGTTTGTGAAGTGCCTTTTCCCGGATACCCAGGGGGTGCAGGGCCTTGAGCATGGCATCCAGTGTCCCAGGATCTCGGATCCACCACCAGCCAGAGCACATGTCTGTGAACAGTTTATGCATGTGGGGTGGGGAGTGGGTGTCAGCTGTTGAATCATGTGGCCCACACCTGACACATTCCCACCTATTCTTACCCCCTTCCACCTCAGGGTCACTCACCAGGGGGCACAGGCTGGGCTGTCAGCTGGGTTAGGTAACGCTGCTCCATCTGTTTGAAGAACCTGCTGGGGGGTCTCCCCCTCCGTTTCGGCTGTGCCAGCCCTGCAGGACTCTGTGGTGTTTCTCCAGGGTCCCCTGCTCGCCTCTTAGAGGCCACCCCAGGCAAGGGGGTGGAAGAGAGGTGCGCTGGGGAACAGGAGTTGGCAGTGCGGGGTCTATTCCCCTGTGAATGAGATCAATGTTAGGGGATGAGGGTGCTTTCATGTCTGCAGAACCCTAGCAGTCCCCCAGCTTCATCAATGGCCCACAGCCAGGCAACAGAGCCTGCGGTAAGATGAGGTCAAGTGCACACCACCAATTCCCCTACTCACTGGCTTGGAGGAGGCAGACAGCTGGGTGGGGGGAGGGAGCTGGTCTTCCAAAACTGCGGGGGGTGGTGTAGGAGCAGCACCACAGGGCATCTGGGCTGAGAAGTCAAACCAGGGAGCTTGTGAGCCAGGACTGGATTCTGTCTGGTCCGGCTCTGGCCCCTCTGGTGGCTGAGATGGGCTGGGGTCCAGTTTTCCAGGGCTGCTGTCAGGTGTGAGGACTGAGCTGCTCAGCAAGGAGCCATGGTTCTGAGTCTGGCTCAGCCAAGACAGGAAGGCTGACTGGCTGAGGTCATGCTGGCTCTGACCCAGAGACAAAGGGGAACCTTCTGGCTCCAGGAACCCATTACGGGACTGAGGATGGGGCTGAAGTTGGGGCTGGGGCTCAGCATGAGCCTGAAGCTGGGGCTGAGGCTGAGGCTGAGTCTCAGGCTGAAGCTGGGCCTGGGGCTCTTCTGAATCCTGACCCCTGACAGGGGACTTCAGGCGTCTTGGATGCACAGACCCAGGTTTCGTTTTCCGAGGCCGGCCTCGGGCCCGGGCAGGAGAACTGGCCATGGTGCTGGAGCTGGCTGACTCCCTCCTCAGCAGGAAGGGGGCTGGGCTGGGTGCGGGGTGGGCTGCCACTTTTAGGGAGTCAGTTTCCCACTTGATCACCTCCTCAGGAACTGTAAAGGGAAGTAAAGAGCTTAAGACATACACTGATACACAAGGGGCAAGAAAGAGGGTATATAACAGGACCTTCTTTTTTCTTGTCTTAATACCCCATCCCTGCCTTTGAAGATTCCACTGTGAACTGCTTATCTGGTATCTGGGAGAGAAACACTTCTCTCCCAAGGAGTCAGCAGCTGCACAGCCATAAACCAACATCTGTGGAGAATCAGCATGCTCAGTGCTTCTCTAAGGGAATTTAACTCCTCCCAATCCCCTTAGCAGCCCGAAGCACAGGCTAGTATCATCTCCACTCTACAAATGAAGGAGATGAGCTGTCGGCGGGTCAATGGCAGAGCAGGTACCTGGCCTTACTCCAGAGCCTGCACCCTTAACTGGAGGATACAGGGGTGCTCCTGAAGGGAATGAGGCCAAGACCACCAGGCAGAGGGGAAGAAGCCATTTGCCTTGGTTAAACAGGTCTCAAATTCAGGCTTTCAGGACACACCTACCGAAGCTCCCTTCTGTTCCTTCTACAAAGATACCAGCCAAATACGGCAACACCCAGTAGCGGCGTCTGTAGCGGTCCTGACCCAAGGAGACTGCCCGGAGCATCTGGGATGAGTGGAGCAGCTTTTTACGAAAGAAGAGCTGACGCTAGGAAGGCAGTGGAAGAGGAAGATAGATAAAAATGATGGATAAAAACACATTTCCAGAGCAAGAGTGGTGACTTCATCTAGTATATGGGAAAAGGGAACTGGCTCTCAGCTTCTCTATAGAACTGATGTTATCTAGGTCCAATCAATTCTCTCCCAAGTCACACCTCTGGCTCCTGGGCAGTTAGAAGCACAATACCTTGCTCAGTTTTTCTATCTGGTGCTCTAGCTCTGGGATGCTAGACACTGTGGCATCAACCTGGAGAAGCAAGTGGACACCAAGAGAAAGGGCATTATCAGAATCAAGAAAGAGAAATCATCAATTTTCCAACTCCCACTTTCCTTGGTCTAGGGCTGGTACCTCTCCATCTCTTCGACCCCTACGGCCATGGACAGCTGCTGTAGGCTCCTCCTCTTCCTCCTCTTCCACACCACTGGTTTCCTCCATGATCCGAGAACTGCGCCTCCTCCTCAGGCCTTCCTCTGGCCCTTGCATTTCGACCTCAGGCCACCCAGTTCGCTTGGCCAGAGCAGTTTTCAGCCTTGAAACAGAGATTAAGGGAAACTGTGAGCAATGGAATGTCGTCACAAAGGAAGTGCCTGGCATCTAAGCCACCCCAAGCCCTGGGGTCAGGTCCCAGCCCCAGGGGAGGGATAATGACATGGAGTTCCAGGCAAACATCCGGGATATCCTGCACCCTTTCCCCTTATCCCCTCTCTCTGGGCCTTACCCTGTCCTGGCCCTACCTTCGGAGCCGACCTTCAACAATCCACTTGTTTTTCCTGTAGCTGGACATACTCTCCAGAGTCTTGTCAATCTCGCTGTAAGGGAATAGGGAATGGGATTTTGAAGTCAAAGTGGCAGCACACACATAAAAGAAGGCTCAAGGGCAAAGGGCTACAGCTGAACAGAGTTTCATCCTAAAGTGTAGACTGGATGACTGGTAGGGGGAGGCTTAGGTTCTCTCAGGGAAGGCACTAACATTTGGTCCTAAATCACTCAAGCATTTCCAGAGCATGGCACTCATTGCCCAGGACTTCCAGATGGCTAAAGCCCTCCCCCATCTCAGCCCCTCACTTGATGATGAGGGTGGAGCTGTTGAGCTCATGCACAAGGAAGGCCAGGATGGCAGCCTTCTGCTGGGGTGGCTGGGCCTGAAAAGGCTGGGTGCGCAGGCTGTCATAGAGGGCCGGCTCCGCTCCACACGCCATGAGGAAGCAGCGCAGGATCTCAGACACATTGTCTCTTGTCAGTGGAATCTCGGATACCTTCTCCCCCAAAATCTTTAAGGACTGTGTAGAGGAGAGTATAAAGGGAGTTAAGAGAGAAAGAGGCACAACTTAAGTTGGATGCATCTGGAAGAGAAAAATACAGTAAGCGAAAATTATGGGGTGAAGAGAGGAAAGGAATGAAAATTACGACAAGATGCGAGAGAGGACAAGGCACTCATGGTTCCTTTCTCTTTTGGGTGGGTAGGCTGAGAAGGAAAAGGTAAAGACGAAGAAGGAAAAAGCCAAGAGGGAGAAAAAGAAAGAAAGGGTGAAATGAAAGAAAGGGTGAAATAAAGGAAAATGCACCAATGAAGCACAGGGGGGCTGGAAGAAACAAAACAGAGGAAAATATAAGGAAAACGGAATGGGAAGAGACATCTCCCTTTACTTGTCCTGTTCACTTTAGGGAGGGGCTTTAAAGAGAAAGCCAACTGAGACAGAGTCCTGGATCCCAGGCCATCCCACCCACCCAAGGACCTCACCTGACAGTAGGAGGGCAAGCCAGGGTCATAGAGTGCAGCCTTCAGGAGCCGCACCAGCAGGTCCTGTACCTCGCCCAAGCTGTTGCCTTGACACAGGAGTCCCTCCTGCAGGACCCCCAGGCTAGGTACATCTTTGGCAGGGTCAAAGCCCAGCACCTTGCCAAAGCTGTGCAGGAACTCCACAATGGTCAAGCAGTCCGAGAAGGCCCCACTAGGCAGGATCAGACCAGGGATGCGTGAGAAGTCAGGCAGGGGCTGTAAGCATACGAGTGGGGTGGGGGGGGGGTTGTGTCACCCACCGGCCATTTGCACAACCGGCCCCTCTGGGCCTGGACCTGCTGCCACTCCCTACCTGGTGGTCAGGCAGACACATGTCCTCTGTGGGCTTCCTCATCTCCTCCAAGATCATCTGCTGCCTCTGCCACTCCTCCAGGCACCTCTGCACGGCCGGTGTTTTACCTGCTTTACAGGCTGGCTTGGCTTTGGTCCCCTCCTCCTTTTCTTTCATTTTCGCTTTGTCCTTTTTCTCCCTCTTGGCTTTTTCCTTCTTTGTCTTTACCTTTTCCTTCTCAGCCTACCCACCCAAAAGAGAAAGGAACCATGAGTGCCATAAAGCTTCCAGTTCCCACCCTTCCCTGGTCCCCATCCTCCCCACATCCTCCCCACAAATGTGACTAAAACAAGACCAACTGACACTTCCTGCAAAATCAGTTTGGTGACTTCACAGTTATACCTGTGTGTGCATACACCTACCTTGAATTTCTTCTTAGCTTCCTTCTGTTTTAAGCTCTTGGTCTCTTGCTTCCACTTGTTTCTGGCCTGTAAACCATAAGGGAAGTAATTTCTCCTCAAACTCTGAAAGTATATCTGCTTGGGCTAGGATTCAAAAACAGAGAAGGGTGCTGGGGAGGAGAGGTGAGAGATGGGATGAGGAGTGGGCAAAGGATCAATTCTCTCACCCTGGAAATGCTCACATTATTCCTGATCAAGCCCAATTCTAAACCAAGCCCCCCAAAGTCCAGGTAATGAAGGCATGCTGCTTGCTACATGGGGGCAGACAGCAGACATGGGTAAAGAAGGAAAGACCTTCTTTCAGGGCTGCAGGAGAAGGTCTCCGACGTTCCTCACCTGCCCTGGGATAGCCATTTGACACTCTCCCCGCTGTGCCTTCTGCCTCGGCTTTTTGACTTTGCTTGTCTTTGCTTTCTCTCCCTCACTCCCCGTTTCTGTGGCGGCAGAAAGAAAAATGAAGAGCCAGGCAGGCAGACAGAGCTCCAGTATCAAGAGCAGCACATGCCTGTCACAAAATGGCTTCCCAAGCAGCTCCCTGAAGAATTTAGACTCTTTTTTTTTTAAAAGAAGTATATATAATAAAATGTTGGGGGAAAAATATGTAGGAGACACACCTGCTATGGGGGTAGCACAAATAACTCAAATGATATCTCTGCCCAGAAGTACCAGCCCCTGGAACAGACTGTACTATTTAGGAGGAGTCCTGGATTCCACAGCGGCAGAGCAGTTTTGGTCCCCAGGCTACCTGATAAGGATAGCAGCCCACAAAGGGACTTTAAAGCAGAGAAGGGAAAAAGAAAACTAAACTGCCAGGGAAAGATGGTGGTCTCCGGTGTTGAAAGCAAGAATGTGCCAGAAACAAACGCTGGGTACTGGGCCCTTCAGTAGAATCAGATCAACACTGATGTAGCTAGCTATTGCTTTTGCCTAGCTCTGGCAAGCTATTAATTTTTTCCCTACTAGAAGACTGAATATAAAGTGTGATTCTACAAACAACAGAGTGTTTTAGAATTGAACTTTTTCATTTATGATACTAGTTATTCTATTCTGGCACAGAGGCTACCACCACCACACCTGTATAGCAACCCTCTAAGTTAGACAGGTATTAGCTGCAGGTAAACCGGTACAGGCTTCCACTAAAATATAAGTGACTTATTCCAGGTCATACAGTCAGAATCCGACAGCTGGAACTAAACAGAAGACTCCAAATTTTTTCAAATTCCTCACATTTTATCAGGGTAAATGTTCATATTTACTAAAAAATTAGACATTCCTACCTATCTATGTCACTAAAACAGTGCCAATGACCTTTTGGATTCAGATGGGAATTCTGAACCTCTGTGACACAGCAATGAGTAAACGAGAGCCTAGAACCCAAACCAGTAAGGTAAATAAGGAGCTAAAAGACAGTGAGAAGGACATGAAACCCTCTCCTCGAGACGACTTGAAGCTCTGCCAAGAAAAACTCAACGAAGAAACCAGCTGTCCAAGAAGCACCACAGAAGTGCTGGGACCCTGATATACTGCTTTCTAGGCAGAGGAAGCGACTCAGATTCATTATGTCCAGACAATGTCGGTGACACTCCTAGGAAACCCAGGCATCTAAGCACTTGATTGCCCCCCGACCCCTGGCAAGCAGAATCCCAAAGTAAGAAACACCTCTTTACCTTGGGCCTCCAGCTTCTTTAGAAGGTGGTTTTCTGTCTTATTTAACATCTCAGTGATTTTGACCTTGGGTGGCCGACCTCGGCCCCGTTTCACCTTGGGGACTTCCTTGGTCTTGGCCTTCTCTGTGTTTCGAGGTCGGCCCCGTTTCCCAGTAATTGCCTGAATCCTGGATGGGATCTCCTCTGCTGACAGCTGTATCCACTGCAAGCCCTGAGGTAACGAGGACAACTTTGCTACACTGTGAGGGAGCTTGTGCAAGCCACGCAGCCCTCTGAACCCTTCAATACCCCAGACCTCAAAACCCCACAAGAAGCAGTTGCAGCTTGATCCATCAACCCTTTTTCAGGGACAAAAGCATATTTAACCCTTGGGTCTGCACCTCTGGTGTGTCTCTCTCTTCAAAGAAATCTCCAACAGGCATACGGGGACTGAAGCTGAAGTGCTCACGGCGGACACTGTGTACCACGCTGCGGCTCAGGTACTAAGAGGAAGAGGTAGAGTGGCATTAATGAAGACATAGCCCTACCAGGCGATTGGCCAGAGCCAGCAGACACAGAACAGGCCCCAGAGCAGACTAGGTCAACCTCCTGCCAGTGGGCCCATGTCCCTAAAAAAATCATGAGAACTGTTATTACCTTGATCACTTCTGGGAACTGTTTCATCCTCTTCCCACAGGGGCCGTAATACCAGGTCTCCCCCTGCCAACGGTGGCTGCCCTTCCTGATGCGCACCTCTCTCCTCCACCTGCCAGGGAAGCACACGGGCCCTGCCGCCAGGTCACACTCCTACCCACTCAATCCACCCAGGAGCTGAGCCCTCTGAGCAGATGCCCTCCCTGCATCTACCTTGCCAGAACTGCAGGTAATGCAAACACAGCATGGGGTACAAGCTTGGCCAGAAGGTAGGCCTAAACTCACAAACCTCTCAGGGGCTGGGGGAAGCAATACACCAAACTGCACAAGCCCAGCAAAACCTCCACCCTGCCCTTTACAAAGTCAGGGACATGAACACCCAGAAACACTCTCACTGATGCCATTCAGGTCAACTACTGTGTTTCCAGGAAAGAGGATGAGGACCTAAGGAATAAGGAAGAGAAGACTGAGGGCGGGGAAGCCAGCGGAAGCATAAACCTCTAGACTGCATGAAATGACTCCCACAGGCCAGGGTGGAGGGACTCTGCGTTCCCAGCAACAGGTCATGCTAAGATGAAGCCCTATCTTTCTGTTCAATGTTAGGCAGAATTTGGACTTGGTGACCCTAAGTAGCCTGGGGGTTGGGGGTGGGGAAGACCAGAAAAGCAGCTATTCCTACAAGGCCTTGGCACAAAATGGCTTGCTCATTCTGTCCCGTACTGTTCCTTCCTTACCCCTCCAAAGAGCATTAGCAAAAAACATCTCAGTTAAAGACTCAGCCACTCCCCATTCACTGCTATCCCTTCTCTAGGTATACAGAACTACTCAGCTAGTTTGGATACCTGAGTCCTAGAGCCACCAACTGGGTTTGGAAAAGGTAACAGCTGTGGCTGCAAGATGAGGAAAGAATAGGTGAGGGCAAGCAGACCTGGCAGAGGAAGGAAAGCCTATGATCTCAGGGGAAGAAACAGTATCACTGCAGGTAATGGCAGGTCTGGTGGGCTCACCCTGCACCATCTCACTCAGTTCATCAAAGGCAGTTATGTGTAGCAGACTAGAGCATTTACCCATGCTGGAGGGGAAGACGGACTTCCTCTGGGGTAGCAATACGTCTCCGCAGGACATCACCTTGGAAGGAAGATAGGGGAGCCCCAAGTTAAGAGTTCAAGCAAAATACGGAAACAACAGGCCAGCAGGAAAGGGCTAAATGCCACACTGGACAGAAGCTTTTCCTGGCCCTGGCTGTGGCGGAGTGGCATCTGGGCACTTACCACTATTGGAAGTAGGGACACCTCCTCCCGTAGTCTCTTCTGGGCCAGTAGTGCTCTCAGGGAAGATGCAGATGCCCTTACTTGCCAGGGAAGCCACTGGGAAGACAGCTGCTGGGGGAGCTGCAGGGGTGGCTTTTGGGGAGTTCACTGGGGAGACTGCCAAGGAGACCTCTGAGACCGGTGGGAGGTCTGCTGAAGTTGGGGAGACTGCTGGAGAGACTTCTGGGGAGATTTCCAGAGAGGCTGCTGGAGAAACTGCCAGGGAGATTGCTGGAGAGGCTGTTGGTGGGACTGCTGGATGAAGCTGAAGAGTGGATGCCTGGTCAGGGGCTGGCTGGGTCAGTGGTGGGAAATCTGAAGCCTGAGTCTCTACTTCTTCCTGTTCCACATCACTGCCATTATTAAGGTCAAAGCTGTTATCTAGAATCCAAAGGGACAGGAAAAATGCTGTCATATAAAACAAGAAAATCTACTGAGTCAAACCTGGGCTAAGCCCAATAGGATTACTCAAGGGCTTTTCCTAGGGTTGGAAAAGGGGAGGAACCACTGGCTATCTTGGCCAACCATTCATGAAGGTTAAAGGCTGTGTGAAGAAACACCTTTCACCTGGAGCCAGTAAGACCTCTGGCCTCTTTTTCCCTGCAAATACAATCCTTTGGGCTCACAAACCTTAAAAGTCCAGGGCAGAATCCACTTTAGCAGCCTATGTCTCTTTTAGTCCCACCACACACCACCCTAGAGCCCCCAGCTCCCAGCAAGGTGCTCTCAGACTCCCTGACAGGGTCCCAACTGAGGGACCTGTCCTCTCGCTTTCCCCAGGCCAAGGCCTCTCTGTCCTTCCTCTCCACGTTTACCTTGCACAACAGACTCCCCAAGGACAGGTGGAGAGGCAGCACTGGCAAAGATAGAGGCTGAAGTTTGACTGTCATCTGCCAGGAGACTGAAGGCAGTGGCATTACTGAGGGAAGGGCAGTCAAGGGCAGAGATCACAGGGCTGTCGTCAAGAGGCAGCTTGTCCTCGGTACCCATCATCTCTGTATCATCTATACCATAGAGTCCTCCACTCACTGGTTCTGCAGGGAGTGGAAAATCAGGTAGCAAAATTCAATAACTACTGGTCTGAATAAATCCAACTCTAGTTTCCATAGTGTGAGGTTCTTTCTAATGCTAAAATGGGGAAATTTCATGAAATCTAAAGTACCCTGAAAGAGTAAAGTTACTAGAATACTGGGATCATAAAAGCTTAAAGTGGAAATGTAGGGAAAGGCACTGGCATTACGTCAACCCACAGACCAATGCAAAATTCTAGGATCTATCATAAAATAAGTGTTCCTCATAGTTCAGTGGGGTAAAAGGTAATTGTTCACTAGCAAATGTCTTCTTCCTAGTTAGTGAGAACCCAAACAGCCCACCTGTGTGGTAATAAGCCCTAATCCAGTAAATGATTACAGCCTAGGACTCTTGGCCAGAAGGAATACTGGGAAAGAACCTGGGAAGTGAAGCAATTTAGCATAGAGGGTGGTGCGCCTAGTCAGGCTGGTAGCCGGAAACTGCAGCCCATCCCAGGATTATCTGGAGGTCCCAGATTCCAAATCCTTTCTCTGGTTCACTGTATCTTCCAGTTAATAAAAGCTGGCTACCCTCTGCATGGAGAAGTTGAAGGGAACCAGGCTACAACCCCACCTGGTGCCAGAGTGTTGAAGGGCTCCAGAGAGACTTCACTGAGGATTGGAGTGTCTTCCAGTTGTTGAGGAAGATGTGAAGGATCATCTAAGCAGCTCACTGCGGGGTCAGGGACCAAGACTGAGACCTCTTGGTGTAATGATTCCACAGAAGGAACAGAGCCATTGTAGCCACACATCTTTAGTTCTAGGAAATCCCAGGAGAGGGCAGAGTCAAAATTAGTGCCTGCAATGGTACACTGAGCTACAGTAGGTCAGTAGGTAGTCATTATTTTCTAGAGGAACACCCATTCTTTCAACATTTATGGGTGCCAGCTCTGTTTGGGTACTTATTATACCAAGATACTCTGAGTGAGCACAGAAGTGATAGCAAAATCCTTTGGCAGGTAAGGAGAAGAGAGAAGAGGGTGGGGTCTGAGATAAGAACCCCATCATATTCTCAGCTATTTACCCCACCCAGTGGTAAACAGAGAAAACACCCTGTAAAATCACAGGTCACCTGCACAGCAAACTAAGCATTTATCTATTTTGAAAGAAAAGATGAGAGGGACTGTCACATGTACCAATGCTAACAACAAAAAGAAAGGAAACTGAGTAGATGAGCATTCTGTCTTCTGCCTGCTGCCTTCCCTCCTTCACGTGCCAATCACTACTACAGTTCAGCCCACTTTAGCAGTCAGTCTGGCCCTGCCATCAGCAAGTTGGCCTCAATGCTCCCTTGCTAATGGCCCAACCCTTCCCTATATTCTTGAAGAAGCCCCTCCTGATGCAGGGTATCTGTTGGGGCTGTCCGGGCTCGCCCACCTGCCCTCTCCAGGCCAGCAGCTCTGCATGAGCTTGAAATAATTTGCACTCCCACTCGAGCTGGTGCTACGGCCACAAAAACACCAGCCACTGGCTCTGCTAATCACCAACATGCAAATCAGCCTCCCCTGCAGAGAGCTGGAAAGACAAGGTTTCCTCACCTCAAAAAGCCACTGCCCCCAGTTCCACCTTCCCTCTCCCAGCCCAGATCCCAGACCACAGTCATACCTGGCTGCTCTTCTTCCAGCTCCAGGCTGCCTACCAAGCCAGTGCCACTCTCTGCCACGACAGAAGTCAGCTCCTTTCCTGCCACCTCATCACAATGGATGCCATCGCCTACCTCCTGGGAGGGCACAAAGGTCTGGATGCGTGACCCCAGCATAGGAGAAGTCTGTGGGGAGCTGAAAAAACTAGGAGGTCCATTGGGCATCACCTCAAAACTCTGGTCAGGAAAGGAATCATATAGTTCCTGTGAGTCGAAGTTAAGCCCCATGGGACTCTGGGTACCATTGGCCCAAAACTCTTGGCTCCCAGCCCGAAGGTTAGTGTTGTGACTTGGGGATGAAGGTTGCCGGCTGCCCCCAAGGATGCCATTGAGTGGGTACTGTGTCCCCGAGAACTGGGACAGAAGGGGTGGGTCCTTGAGGTTGCTGCCAGGATTGGCAGATGGGTACTGTGAGTAGTTCCAGAGACAGTCGTAGGCCACGCTGGGGTGATGGAGGTGTGAGGTGCTGGAGGGGTGGGAAGCAGAGTTCAAAATCCCTGAAGTAGTAGTGTGAGATACAGTAGATAAGCCATTAACATTCACATCCCCATTCAAACCTGGCAAAAAGGAGGGAAAAGGGTCAGTTACAAGTATGTGTGGAAGTAACTGTACCAACTTTACCAGAAGAAAACTGACTAGAAAAGGGGAAGAGGAAGGGGGCAAGGATTCCCTCTCCTCTACATTTAGCTTTTCAGTCCGAGGTACAACAAACCCAGATGCTCCTGGATCTTTTTTTTTTTTTGCTTATGCCTAGCAAATGTTCCTGGATATGGATTTTTTTTTTTTTGCTTACACCTAGCAAATGCTCCTGGATATTGCTTATGCCTAGCAAATGCTCCTGGCCCACCACTGAGCACCCGGCAGAGTGCAGGCTGCCTGCTGCTGCTCAGGGTTTTTCACTTTTTCTATATGAAGCTGTTTGCAGACTCCCTCCAGTGACTTACTTGCATGCTTCCCCATCCTCATGCCCTACAGGGATTCTTCCCTTGCCTCAGCATGACTGAAGGCTCCAGGCACTCCCTCTTGCCCCAGTGCCTGTCTGGCCCCACAGTGGCACCAGAAGGGGCAGTCTCCACCTCACTGGCACATGCAGAACCAGCACTTCGTGCTGGGCTAAGAATAGAATTTGCAGTCACCACAGCAGCAAGATCCTGGCTCAGAAGGCTGGGCTCAGCACCCTCAAAGGCACCAAGGGTGATATGCAGGGGAGAAATCTCTACATGACTCCCCAGTACTGCAGGCTATGGACTTCAGTTCTCAGCACCAATGACAACCTCTGGACTGGAGGACAAACAAAACAAAGGAACAAGATACTAAGGAAGCTGAGGGGTGTGGGGTGCAGAGGGCAGGATGAGATGCAGGTATGTGTGGTCCTCCAGCCTCCACCAAAACAAGGCAGCTTCTATCTATCTGCAACTCCCTTGTGGAGGATAGGAGGGAGGGGTGGTGAGCATAAACCTATGGCAGTATTTTTCTGCTGCAAGGAAGGAAGGAAGCATGTGGGCTTCTCTCTGCCTCCAAGCACAATGTACCTGGAACCCAGCAAAAATTAGGTATGAGGCAGAATCACGGTACAGCACAACTGTTAAGCCCAGGAAGACCCGATCCTGGCAGCACCACTTTCCTCTGGAATTACAGATGTCTCCTCTCTGGGGATCTAGGTAAGCATTAAAACTCCCCTTGTCCCTGTCTTCTACCCTCAAGGACAGAAGGCACAGGAGGGGCACAGGCACTTCAAGCATCTGCCCTCTTCTCTCCACAGAAGAGACAAATACATGCCAACCTTCACCGAGCCCCTCCACCCCCATCCTATAGGTGGCTTCTCCAACCTCTAAAAACAGCTTCTCAGAGGGCTGGCCCTTTATCTTTCTCTCATGGGTCCAATCTGGTTATCAGAAGCAGTAGCCACCTCACCACTCTCTGGCAGTAGCTAGGGAACAGGCCTGACAGAAGAGCAGGCCAAGGTGAACAAGGCAGCAGGTTTTTCTAATCTCTTCCTACCTTAAGACTAAAAGTGCTGCTTTCATAAAGCCCTAGAACTTGTTCTTAAAAACCTGAGTTCTCTCTAGTAGCTGGAGTTCTGAGGATTCACTTCCTCCCTCCCCACCTGTTGGGAAAGAGAGCTGTGGTGAGGTAGCTAGCTCAGGGGGGTGGTGGGTAGGTGGTGGTGGGAGCGCAAATCGTATCTCATCAACCTGCTCCTGCTCTAAAGGAATGATGCCCACTGCCCACCCAGGCCATGTGGCCCTCACACTCACTTTTCCCTTGCTGGGAGAAGTTCATGGGAGACCCGTTAGTGTAGAGGCCCTCCCCTGAGGAGGGAGAGGGTTTCAGTCCTGAGGCAGCAGGTGCAGGGGGAAGGCCAGTCAAGTTAAAATGGTCATTTGCCTCCATTTCTGTGGGAGGGAAGAGAGAGGGGAAAAAAATACTGGCAGTTAAACAAGGTTAATGTCACTGGAATCTTCTAGGGGAATGCCCCCTCCCCTCCACTTACTTACCCTTCTCCTACCTAAGTAATGGGGAGACTGTAAAAAAAAGGAGGAAGAAATGTACTCCTAACCTGGCAATTGCCCTATAGAAATAGTCTTTAAAAGTCAGCCTTGTAAAGATAAAAATAGTGAGAAAAACCAAGATACAAAGCCTGGAGGAATCTCTCCCTGGGTAAGGCCAGTTTACCCTTAACTCCCAGCCCAGTTTATCCTTCTCCAGGTTAGACACTAGCCCTCTATTATCTAAAATTTAACATTTTCCATCCTTTGTGGCTTTCTTCTCTCAAGGTAAGGCCAGAGTCCCACTACCAGGATCCACAGAAGGTTCTCAAAGCCATCTTTCTGACAGGAAGTCATGGAGATGGGGCTGTTGGCAGCAATAGCATATTTGATATATATTCTGCTCTATTATTATACTCAATTTCCACATCCTATCATCTGAAGAAGATAGTATAGTTACCTTAGGAAAGGGATTTGAAAAGGAAAATACATTTCAGGAAAGGTAAAATAATGGCAAAACTTGCATTATCCAGCAACACTTTTTCTAGCCCTTTTCCATGGGAAATACCATGCTCTCTAAGGACACAGCTCAGACAAACGTCAAAGATGGAAGACTGATTAATTAAGAGGGTGTCCCAAGGAATATTACTGTGTTGTACTTACTATGGTTACTTCCTAGTGTTCTGGTTTTGTGGCTTAGATGTAAAGAGTCAAGGAGAAACAGCTGGCCAGTAAATCTGTGAAGTGCAGTAGCTCACTGTGGGGGTAGAAGGGTTAAAAGCTTTTCACCCTCTCCTGAATACAAGGTGTACAACACTCAGAGTGATGAGAAGCGAAGCCCTTGGTCAGAACAAATTTAACTCTGACAGAGCAAAGAGAAGAGGAAAGAAAGATAGGAAGCAAAAGCCAGCATTATTGGTAAAGTCTTACATAATCAGATACTTATGATGTCCTACTGCATACTAATTTGATTATCTGAGAAACATGCTCTGTCTTAATACAGAAAAAGCAAGTCCCTGTGTTACTATGTTTTGAAGAGAAGCAAAAGAATTTAGGTAGAAAGATTTCTCTAACAAGTTCCCAAGATGAGGCAATAAGCAGACCCAGGTGATGTTTTCAATAACCTCTTTTTAAAAAGAACCAGAAATAAAAGCTTTTTAAAGAAAGAATAAATATATTACCACTGCCCAAGGTTTGCAAGAGCCATGTTCCTGAACATGCTAGATAATGAAAATCAGACACTGCCAAGTGCATGAGTCTAACCTAATTCTGAGCATGAAATATAAACCCTGTACAGTAAATAGCATGATATTGTAAGATTTTTTCCAGGCTAAATACCCTAATTGTCTCTACTTTCAGTAATTTTAACTGAAATTTTAAAAAATATCAAATAAAAGTAGTTTGTAGTTTACTGATTTAAGGGAAAAAAAGATTTTAGTACTGATTTCTCATTCAGCCCTCCCATCTTCACTCTAAAATAAGCAGTAGACCTAAACCAACCATGAATCAGTTAAGAAATGGGGACTTGAGAATGAAACTGGGTTACTGTCTAACTCCACACACAAAAGTAAACTCGAAATGGATCAAAGACCTGAATGTAAGTCACGAAACCATTAAACTCTTACAAGAAAACATAGGCAAAACTCTCGAATATAAACATGAGCATATCTCCCTGGGCAAGGGAAACAAAAGCAAAAATGAACAAGTGGGACTATATCAAACTAAAAAGCTTCTGTACAGCAAAGGACACCATCAATAGAACAAAAAGGCATCCTACATTATGGGAGAATATATTCATAAATGACATATCCAATAAGGGGTTGACATCTAAAATATATAAAGAGCTCACGTGCCTCAACAAACAAAAAGCAAATAATCCGATTAAAAAATAGACAGAGGATCTGAACAGACACTTCTCCAAAGAAGAAATTCAGATGGCCAACAGATACATGAAAAGATGCTCCACATTGTTAATCATAAGAGAAATGCAAATTAAAACCACTATGAGATACCACCTCACACCAGTTAGGATGGCCAACATCCAAAAGACAAACAACAAATGCTGGTGAGGATGTGGAGAAAGGGGAACCCTCCTACACTGCTGGTGGGAATGTAAAATTAGTTCAACTATTGTGGAAAGCAGTATGGAGGTTCCTCAAAAAACTAAAAACAGAAATACCATTTGACCCAGGAATTCCACTCCTACACATTTACCCTAAGAATGCAGGAGCCCAGTTTCAAAAAGACATATGAACCCCTATGTTTTTTGCAGTACTATTTACTATAGCCAAAAAATGGAAGCAACCTAAGTGTCCATCAGTAGATGAATGGATAAAGAAGATGTGGTACATATACACAATGGAATATTATTCAGCCATCCAAAGAAAACAAATCCATTTGCAACAACATGGATGGAGCTAGAGGGTATTATGCTTAGTGAAATAAGCCAGGCGGAGAAAGACAAGTACCAAATGATTTCACTCATCTGTGGAATATAACAACAAAGCAAAACTGAAGGAACAAAACAGCAGCAGAATCACAGAACCCAGAATGAACTAACATTTACCAAAGGGAAAGGGACTGGGGAGGATAGGGGGGAAGAGAGGGATAAAGGGATTAAGGGGCATTAGGGTTAGTACACATAATGCAGGGTGAGCACAGGGAAGGCAGTATAGCACAGAGAAGACAAGCAGTGACTCTACAGCATCTTACTATGCTGATGGACAGTGACTGTGTTGGGGTATGTGGTGGGGACTTGATAATGGGGGGAATCTAGTAACCACAATGTTGCTCATGTGATTGTGTATTAATGATACCATAATAAAAAAAATAAAAAAGAAAGGAACTGGGACTCTCCAGAGACAACCTAAGGGTCTCTCTGCAGTTTTCTACAGGCCACTTCTTAGCAATAAGGGGTCTGAAACTAAGCATCATGAGCCTTCAAAAGTAAAATCACTAAGGGGAAGTTCATTCCCTAAACCTCTAGGTTAGGTTCCTTCCAAAGCTTACATCATAGAGCTAAAAAGACATTCAAAGTAATTCATTTTGTAAGTCCTAGAAATATTTACTATGCCTGGAGAACCAATCTAATCTGATCCCCACCTCAACTCCCCTGGTGTGTGCATGTAACAACACACCCTCTCCTACCTGCACCAGACTACATCTTCCCACTCAATGATGGCCCACAGTTCATTTCTTCATTTCTATTTGAATCCATGAGGAAACCAGTGACCTCCTCCTCTCTGCTACTCTGGGAAAGCACAGAATTTCCGTTTCATATATTACATATGAATAAGAATAAATATATGGCTCACAAAATTCAGGGAAGTAAAAGGAGTGGAAAGTTAACTAGTACCTGAGGTCTGTTTCCCCACTAGCCTCTACTGCAGGGTCATCAGGACACAATCACTTCATTTACAAGTTTCCTAGAAACATAAAATACTTTGTTTTTTATTAAGGTATCATTGATATACACTCTTATGAAGGTTTCACAAGAAAAACAATGTGGTTATTACATTCACCCTTATTATTGTGTCCCTCCCCATACCCCATTGCAGTCATTGTCCATCAGTGTAGTAAGATGGCACAGAGTCCCCTATTTGTCTTATCTGAGCCACACTGTTTCCTGTGACCCCACACACACCATGTGCACCAATCATGATACCCCACAATCCCCTTCTCCCTCCCTCCCCACCCACCCTCCCCCACCCTTCCCCCTCCCCTTTGGTCACCACTAGTCCCTTCTTGGAGTCTGAGAGAGTGTGCTGTATTTTGTTCCTTCAGTTTTGCTTTGTTATACTCCACAAATGAGGGAAATCATTTGGTGTTTGTCTTTTTTTGCCTGATGTATTTCACTGAACATAATACCCTCTAGCTCCATCCTTGTTGTTGGAAACGGTAGGATGTTTCTTTCTTGTGGCTGAATAATATTCCACTGTGTATATGTACCGCATCCTCTTTATCCATTCATCTGCTGATGGACACTTAGGTTGCTTCCATATTGGCTATTGTAAATAGTGCTGCGATAAACATAGGGGTGTATATTTCTTTCATAAAATGCTTTTTGTGTTGTGCAGTGAAATCAACACAACGTAGTGGGCTCCAGGTTCAAATCCCAGCTCTACCATCACTAGCTGGGCGACCCTAGACAAGTTACTTAACGTTGCTGAGTCTCAGTGTCAGTAATAAAAATTCTAGTGCCCACGTTCAGCCCTTGTGAGGATTAAATGAGAATATCTATATAAAGGCCTTAGCACAGCCATCTAACACGCAGCAAGCACTCAAGAAATGTTAACTATATAATAAGTAAACAAATATATATATAATAAACAAATATAATAAGACAAAAAATAAAGACTGCTTAGTTCCCAAAAAGATAATCAGATCCAAAAGGTCAAAATATAATGTGAATATAATTTAAAATTTATGGAGATACTACAAAACTAGGGATGATCCTACCATCAAAACTCCCTATATGCAAATTGACTCCTGATTTCAGATATCACTGAAATATGGGATCACAGTATGGAAATGCAAAGAAAATGGAGACAGTGACTCTCAGCAATAAACCTAGAATTATTTCATTTTAACCTTCCTGCCCAAGATGCTTTTCACAATAAAGCCTGAAGGTAAATTATGTCCTCTCATCTAGAGGTAGTAAGGAGAATAGTAAAGAAAAGGAGCACGTCTCCCTGTGAACTAATAGGATTCTGCCCAGATGAAAAAAGAAAAACAGTGCCCAAACCCCATAGCAGCAGACAGCTCTTAGGATCAGGAAGTATAACCATGCCAGCACTCATCCCAGTTCCAGTAGTATGTACATGGATCTCTTAAGAGCTTCTATGCTTCATTTATTAAGGTAGGCTTGAAGCAGTACAGCCCTGCCACATGGCTGAACAGGCTGCTAT